CACTCAAGCATGATGTGTTCCGCAAGTTAAGAACTCTACTTGGAGGATCAAAATCAAGTTTAAGGGGGGATGTTGAGTAGTAAACTTGATTTTTGGACTAAATAATATGGGTTTAAGGATTTTGCTTATAGGCCCAAATCAATTAAAAGGCCCAACATGCATAGCATTTCTAGAAGCATTATCTAGAAAAATCTATATAAATATCTACTAGAAAAATCTATATAAATATCTAAGTAAGATATGTAGTTTTATAAAGAATATCTAGAGAATTCTAGGAAAATATCTTGATATGTGGTCTAGGTGTCTCTAGAAAATGTGTGGACTAGAATCTTCTTGTAAACACTATATAAAGGGGTAGTGCCCTCCATTTTGTAACAAGCCAAAAAGTGTGTAAAGTCTTGAATTTGAGAAATACAAGTTTCCTTTTTTCACTTCCTTCTTCCTATTAAGTATTGTCCTCTTAAAAGCCTTAGTCAATCCAAGTTAATAAACCCATCTTTCATCCAACAGTAGCAAGTTCTTAAAGTCTTTGCCATGTAATCTAGCAATCTAGTCGTTAGCGAGCCGCAAATTCTGCATATACAAGAGAAATACGTAAATCAAAGTACAGTCTTAATAAACATTCTAACTCCAAGCATTTCTATGTGTGAATGTTAAGGAGAGGTATATTTTATAATCTTGCTGTGCATCTCCTAAAGTATTATATTTTTCCACGTTTTCTTCTTATTTTTGAAATTCTGTAGTGATGAGGATCTGGATAGAATTCCTTCCCTTTCTTTTTCCTACTATTTTTTGCTCATGTTTGGGAATTGAGGGGGTGTACAGATTGGGCCTTTTTCTCCTGAGGTATTTCTTATACACATTATTTTTGTCAACGGAAAGAAAGATTACATTACCATCTTTATGTGATTGTATTTTGGAATGATTGTATATTACTATATTAGGTCAATTACTTACCATAGATGTATATATATTTTAATTTCTATATAATGGGAGAATCCCGAAAACGAACGATATTTAGCCTTTGAAAATTAACATGGTATCAGCGCTTACCCATAAAATCAATTGCTAAATCTTTGAGTTTCTATCTTCGGTATGGTTTCTCGAGTTGAATCTTCTTGGTCGACCAATCGGTGGTCGACGTCTTTGTTGGTGTAGACCGTCATCTTCAATGTGGGAGTTGTGGTGCTTTGTTGTAGCATGAGGCAATTGTGATTGTATCTTCAGCTGCAGGAGTCGATTACGTGGATGCGATTGGTGGGTAACCGGAGTTGAATTTCAGGTGACTGTGAGGACGATTGAAGCCTCACTGTGGTTTTTCCGACGCGTCTCTGCCTTTTTGGTTATCTGGTCTGTCTTCATCTTGGGCCTAGTGGTGGTGTCTGCTTCGTTGGTTTGTTGATTGGGTTTTGTGTGTGAGGCCCAATTGTTATTTGTTTATTTATTTGGGCTATTAACTCTAGTGTGTGGACTATCCTTTGTGATTGGAATTTTTTTAGTTGAGCTATTGTCCTACACTAAGGAGCTATGTCGGTTGAAGCCTTTTGCGTTAAATTTATAGGAAAGAATTACCATGTATGGAAATTCCAATTCAAGATGTTTTTAAAAGGGAAGGAACTTTGGGGCCATATTGAAGGATCCTCTAGAGTGCCTGAGGATGCTAAAGATCTCAATGCATGGGAAGCGAAAGATGTTTGAATTATTTCTTGGATTTTGGGATTTATGGAAGCACATATGGTGAATAGTTTACGATCTTTCACTACTGCTAAGGAAATGTGGGAATATTTAAGACGAATTTATTATCAGGACAACAATGTACGGCGACTTCAGTTGGAGTTAGAGATTGCCAACTATACTCAAGGCAATCTTATGATAGAGCAATACTACTCTGGTTTTCTAAGCTTGTGGTGTGAGTACAGCAGCTCTATCGGCTTTCCAAGAGGTTCAAGAAGTTAGTAAGTGGGATCAATTTCTTATGAAATTACGACCTGAAATAGAAGTGCTAGGGCAAATTTATTAAATCGTGATCCGGTTCTCTCTTTAGATATATGCTTGGGTGAACTTCTACGTGAGGAGCAACGATTGGCTATACAAACTGCCATAGGAGCCGATATATCTTCCGATGTGGTGAATGTTGCATATGTGGCGCAAGGATGGGGAAAAGGTAAACTTCAGCGCTTCTACTGTAAAGGATATGGTCATATTGCTCGCAATTGTCCTCAGAAAATTTGCAATTACTGTAAGCAACCGGAGCACCTCATCAAGGATTGTACTATACGACCTCCAAATCGAAAAGCTCAGGCATTTCAGGCTAATGTTCAGGGACCTACTCCCACGATCTCCCAAGCAAGTACCAGTCCATCGGTTTTTACCCCAGAAATGGTTCAACAAATGATTATTTCCACCTTCTCTGCCTTGGGCTTACAAGGTAAAGACCAAGTTATCTCTTCTCCTTGGTTTGTTGATTCGAGGAAGTCAAATCATATGACAGGTAGTTCTAACTCATTGCATAACATCAGAAGTTATATTGGCACACAAAACATTCAGATTGCTAATGGCAGTACCCTCACAATTACTGCTATTGGGTTCTCCTTTGATAATGTTTTTATATCTCCGAGATTATCTACTAACTTGATTTTGGTTGATCAATTAGTTGATAATAACTGTGATGTGCATTTCTCTCGTGCTGGTTGTCTTGTGTAGGATTGGGGAAGGTGATCGCGAAGGGGCCTAAAATTGGAAGATAGTTTCCATTACAGTTTAATATTTCTACTGCTTTATCTTTAGCCTGTATTGATGTCAGACTTAAGCATGAAATTTGGCATAAAAGGCTAGGACATCCGAATACTCTAATTTTGTCTGATTTGTTGAAGTGTGGTTTTTTGGATAATAAAGATCAATCTCAGTTTTCTAATTTATCTTTCAATTGTGATGCTTGTAAACTTGGGAAAAGTAAAATTCTTCCATTTCCAACTCATGGTAGCTGTGCTAATAAATGCTTTGAAATTATTCATAGTGATGTGTGGGGTGTGACACCCATCACTTCACATACCCATTATAAGTATTTTGTGACGTTTATTGATTATTTCAGTCATTATAATTGAATATATTTTCTCCGTTCTAAAAGTGATTTCAATGCCAGTCTTCAGACTTTTCTCACTTACATTGAGACACAGTTTTCTTCTAATATTCAAATTCTGAGGTCCGATAATGGAGGTGAATATATGTCTCATCAGTGCCAGACATTGCTACAACAAAAGGGCGTTCTTTTTCAATGCTCTTGGCCATATATTCCTTAGCAAAACAGAGTAGCGGAGAGAAAAAATCGTCATTTGTTGGATGCTGTCAGAGTTTTGCTCCTAGAATCTTTGGTCCCACCTAAATTTTAGGTTGAAGCCCTCTCCACAGTTGTACATCTGATTAATCGACTTTCTGCTCAACATGTGAGTTTTGACTCACCTTATTTTCTCCTGTATGGCTCACATCCTAGCTATGAGATGTTGCATACTTTTGGTCGTGTCTGTTTTGTTTATTTGCCTAGACATGAACGTCATAAACTTGCTGCTCAATTTATACGGTGTGCTTTCATGGGTTACAATATTCCTTAGAAAGTTTTTGTTTGTTATAAAGGTGTTGCTAATCGATTCCGTATCTCTCGCAATGTGGTTTTCTTTGAGAATCAACATTACTTTCCACAACATGTATCATCTTCAGATTTGGGTCAGCTCATTAGCTTTGAGGATATATCTTAGCCTATCTAGCATTTCAAACCAGGTATGATATATCAGAGACGATGGCCCCCACCTTTATTGCCCCTTCTTGATCCTATTCCATACTGACACTCTTCGACGATCTACCCATGTTACTCAGCCTCCTAATCGGTATAATTTCTCTGCAACCTTATCTCATTTCATAGTTCCTAATTCTTAATCTCAGGCCGTTACTCAACCATGTTGGGAAAAGGATATGTAAGAACAACTTCAAGCACTTTAAGTTCAGCTCTAATGGATCACTAGATCGATATAAAGCTCGACTAGTGGCTCTTGGTAATCGTCAAGAATATGGAGTAGATTATGAAAAGACTTTTTCCCTTGTAGCCAAAAAGACAACGGTTCGCATCGTCATTGCTATAGCTGCCTCCAAGGGATGGTCTTTATGACAGATGGATGTTAAGAATGCTTTCTTACATGGTGACATTAAGGAGGAGATTTATACGACGCCACCTCCAGGTCTCTTCTCGCTGCCCTCTTCTGATATTTGTAAGCTAAAACGCTCGCTTTATGGGTTAAAATAGGCTCTTCGTGCTTGGTTCGACAAATTTCGTTCTACTCTCCTTGGTTTTTCATTTACTCAAAGTCAATATGATTCGTCTCTCTTTATTTCCAACACCAAGGCTAGTATGATGCTTTTTCTTGTCTATGTGGATGATATAGTTATTAAGGGGATTGACTTTGCATTGATATCTCATCTTCAAGAACGTCTTAAGGACTCTTTTTATATGAAGGATTTGGGTCCTTTACAGTATTTTTTAGGCCTTGAGGTTCATTCGAGTCCAACCGGGACTTACCTACATCAACATAAGTATACAAAGGAGCTGATTAACCTAGCTGGACTTCAAGATGGTAGATCTGTTGATAATCCTATAGAGGTGAACGTGAAATATCGCAAGGAGGAGGGTGATCTTCTTCCTGATCCCTTATTATATCGACAATTGGTGGGTAGTTTAAATTACCTCACTATTACACGACCAGATATCTCATTCCCTGTCTAGCAAGTTTGCCAATTTATGCAAGCCCCACGACACCTCCACTTGGCCACAGTTCGTTGCATTATTCGATACTTGTTTGGTGCACCTAATAAGGGTCTTTTCTTTCCTATAAACACTCCTCTTGATCTAGTTGGTTATAGTGATGTCGACTGGGCCGGATGTGCATATAGTCGTCAGTTAATTACAAGATGGTGTATGTTTCTTGGGAGTGCGCTTGTTTCATGGCTAAGTAAGAAACAAGATCGTATCTCTAAATCCTCCACCGAGTCTGAGTATCATGCTATGTCTTCTGCTTGCTCTGAGATTGTTTGGCTTCAAAGTCTTCTGTCGGAGCTCGGTTGTCCATGGCTTATGCCTACTCCTATCTATGCTGATAACACTAGTGTCATTCAAATTACTGCTAATCCTGTGTTTAATGAACGTACTAAGCACATTGAAGTGGATTGTCACTCTATACGAGAAGCTTATGATGGTTGTTTGATTACTTTTCCACGTCACAACTGATGTTCAAATTGCCGATTTGTTTATCAAGGTGATGACTCGTCAATGGCATCAGTTTCTTGTCAGCAAATTGATACTTCTTGATCATTCAATATCAATTTGAGGGGGAATGTTAATGAAAAGAAAGATTATAGTACCATCTTTATGTGATTGTATTTTGGAATAATTGTATATTACTATATTAGGTCAATTACTTACCATAGATGCATATATTTCAATTTCTATATAATGGGAGAATCCCGAAAAGGGACGATATTCAGCCTTTGAAAATTAACATTGTTTGTAGTGAAGAACCACATATCAATCAGGAAATAAGCAAAATGCTATCCAAGGGATCATAATTAAATTCAAGTATATGATTCCATGACATACTATTTCAATGCCAATGAATCAGATGACACTGCTAAAATATTTTATGATTCAAAACAACTTACATTTACAAAAATATAATTACAATAGTACTAAATGGTAAATATAATAAATTTTAAGAACGTAAACTTGTGTATATATCCAAATCCCATGCCAGATTCATCATTCATTATCTGCCCACAACATATGCACATCCCTCCAATGATACCAGGATGTGTACACATATTCTTCTTTGGAGATGATCCTGCACCAGGATAATGCAACAGAAAGAACATTTTTCAGAAAATGAATAAACTTCAAGTAGAAAATTGGAACCTAAGTGATTAAGTTAATAAATGTAGATGAAGTCCTAAATAGTTCATGTCTTTTGAGGAAAGATTACGGGAGAGACAAAAGTCGTATCCTCAATAGAAAATGAAACTATAAAGAGCAGAAATGGTAAAGAGGTATTGAAGTGAGTGAGAGAGAATAGAATGCTGGATTTCAATAAAGAATTGCAACTAGAATTCACTTAGGCAACTAATATAGAAAGTATCACCTAAAGTTTGAGGTGCTTCTCCTTGAGATTTGGAGCTTTGTGAATCTACAATTTCTTCATATACCTCAACCTTGTGCCTCTGAATTTACAAGAATAATAGGCATCGAGATAAAACATAAATATGAAGAGGCGAAAGCAAAAATAGACTGATGTTATTCATCCAAAAAAATGAAATGTAAATACCATCAGAAACTGAATAAACCATAAGTTTCATCAGCATAATAATTTACCTGTAACTAAAAACATTATACAGAAGTTGGTTCATCCTGCACATGACCTCTTCTATGAATAGCTAGTCTTACAGACAGCAATTTATCCAAAGTAGGAGAGAGACACACCACACAATGCAATAGCAAAATAAGATTAAATCGTATATTAATAATTTAATTTCAGCAAGAAGCTGAATTGAAAATTCAACATCCAGAAAAATTTAATACAAATTAGGAAGGGAAGTCCAGAGGATCATTCTAGTGGGTGTTTTCAGTTGGATCTAACTTATCACTAGCAGTTTCTAACACTTTCTGACAACTCGAGAGACATGTTCTGAGGTTTCTGAGAACACACTAACCACATAAAAGATAGGAAGAACTTTATCTGTTTTAAAGATAAATATTACACTTAAACACTCTACACAGAAAGACTAATGGCACATTAGGCTTTCTTGTTGTTTTTCAAGTTATACAAAAGGTGTTGAAGTAATGGATATCTATTACTGAATGAAGCTAGCAGTATGTTGCAGCTCATTTCACGACACAATAATTTTGGACAAGTAAATATACAACACGAGGATTTATCTTTTAGATATATTGGTCACAATGCCTTAACTAACATTAGGAGAAGGTTAAATATTATATCAAAGTGCTGGATCTTTTAGGCGTACTTATTCAAATGAATTTTAGCATGGCTACATTTACAGTACTAGAGAGTAGCTTGGTGTGTTTTTGCTCTATATTGATCGTGATTTTCCTACATTTTAGCTTCAAAACTTAGGGAATGCATACGATTAGATTGCACTGCCCATCCAAACCCCAAAGGCCATATGTTATTGTTCATCAAGTAACTGATTCCATCGGTGCAGCAGCAGATTGCTTCATTCCCATCGACCAATTTAAGTACTTGTTAGAGTACCTCTGATGATTTGACTTATAGTCATCATTGTCATCAACAACATTTTCTACTTCTTTCTCTTCTATCGCTTCAAAATCAGGTGATGCATCAGCAGCATAACCCAACTCTGCATCTAGAGACCTTGCAAAGTCATCGCTGCTTGACGAATGTACTGGAGGATCCGCTGTTAAACTCATCTGACAATTGTAACAAAAAATATAATATAAGATAATTTGAATGTCAAGCAATGCATAATGCAGCTACATGTCAAATATTGGCATAAGCAAGGAAAAAAGGAAAAGAATTCTCTAGTGGAAAAAAAGAACTGTTTCAGAGGAGTAGGAACTAGTAGAAATCAACTGTGATACAAAACCTAAGCCTTCGGACTCGAAACAACCTAAATCAATCACTTTTCACTTTTCAGCTTATAAAAACAAGGATTTGTCTACAAGTACACAATACATTACATAATGCTTTACACTTGCTGAGCTGGCGTCTTCCTCAGTCAAAAATTTTTTTGAGTCAATTTCTCGCCAAATTAAAATAATAATAAAAATAAATAAAAAAAAGTCAGATTTGTCTAAAGAAACCCTTCCCTCCATCATGTATCCTTCGACTTCATTTTAGAGACAAACAAATGGAAGATGAGGAGGAACTACAGTCACAATATTTGGAAAATGAAGCCGACGAAATCGATGCTGGAAGATTTGACGCCGGCGAGTACAATGATTTGAGCCCAACACATTTTCCCCCGTTAGTTGCAAGTGAGTCGTTTTCTCGAGTGAGTGAGAATGAAAACACGTACCCGTTACTCGAAGGTAATGACATCAATGCCGACGATCTTGAGGTCGACGAGATCGCAGCCGACGATTTTGATGGCGAGGAGAACGCAAGTACCCATTATTTTTTATTTTTAAAAATCTTATATTGTGCACATTATTGAACTAAACAGTGACGAACACCCAAATATATTTTGTAGTCTCTAAGCATTTGTCAGGATCTGAAATTGTAATTCATTTTAGTTCTTCAAACATTTATTTCCATTCAAAAGAAAAAAGGAAAAGAAAAAACTGTCTTTTCATCTCTGTAGTTCAAAAAGGATAAATATTAAAAAAAATAAAAATAAATGGAAGCCCTCTTAGATTCCAAGTTGTTCTTGCTCTGTGCATTGTTGATTTCAGTTGTATAGTCTATACATTACAGTGTTATTTATGACAAGAAATCTCTTATTATTGTATCAATTGTATCAATTGCAGTCCATACATTGCAGTTTGTGCATTTATATGTTTTTGGTTTGAGGAAATTTATGTGCAGGTTGTGAAGGAATTGACATTATTGTGCCAAGGCCCGGAATGAAGTTCAAAGACTAAAATGAAAATTTTGAATTTTACAAGAAGTATGCATACCAAGTCGGGTTTCCTGTCAGAAAAAGAAATTCAAGGAAGGGTGAAAACGGGATAGTACGATATGTATGCTTCACATGTAGTCGAGAAGGACGACGAACCATTGCTACAAGTTCTTCTTTAAATCCTCAGCCAACAATCCAAACTGGATGTAAAGCGAGGGTGACAGCATGTTCGGAGATAGGTGATATGTTTTTGGTTCGACAAAATTTATGTGCAGGTTATGAAGGAATTGAAATTATTGTGCCAAGGTCTGGAATGAAGTTCAAAGACGAAAATAAAATTTTTAATTTTACAAGAAGTATGCATACCAAGTTGGGTTTCCTGTCAGAAAAAGAAATTCAATGAAGGGTGAAGACGGGATAGTACGATATGTATGCTTCACATGTAGTCGAGAAGGACAACGAACCACTACTACAAGTTCTTCTTTAAATCCTCAGCTAATAATCCAAATTGGATGTAAAGCAAGGATGACAATATGTTCGGAGATAGGTGGAACATGGCGTATTAACACTGTCTATCTCGAGCACAATAATAGAACAAGCCCATCTAAATCGAGGTTATATCAATGTAATCACGAAATTAGTGTTCGCATAAGAAGACAGCTTGAAATAAATGACATAGCTGAAATTCCATTGCACAAAAGCTTTAACTCTGGTGTAGTTGAAGCCGGTGGATATGATAAGATGGCATGCGTTGAAAAAGATTGTAGAAATTTTATTGACAAAGTGCAACGGTTAAGGCTTGGTGAGGGAGACGCCATTGCAATTCAAGCCTTTTTCTCAAGAATGCAAACAAGTACTCCTAGCTTCTATTTTAGTATAGATTTGGATAAAGATTGTCGGTTGAGGAATGTGTTTTGGGCGGATAACAAATGCAGAGAAGCCTATAAGGAATTTGGTGGCGTGGTCACTATTAACACCACATACTTGACCAACAAGTACGATATGCCCTTCGCTCCATTTGTTGGAGTTAATCATCATGGCTAATCAACACTTCTTGGATGTGGCCTAATTTCGAATGAAGATACTTGGACTTTTGTATGGTTGTTTAAGACATGATTGGAATGCATGCACGGTCAAGCTCCAAATGATATTATAACGGATCAAGATCGTGCTATGCAAAATGCAATTGAGATCGTCTTCCCAAACACGAGACACATATGGTGTTTGTGGCATATTTTAAAGAAGTTTCCAGAAAAGTTCGGCAACCATAAGTACAAAAATTCTATTCTTTCTAGTGTACACGGGTTGATGTATGATACACAAAGTCCTCTAGAGTTTGAGGAAAAATGGCATACGATGCTTGTACTTTATGAACTGCAAGAACATAGTTCGTTGATAGGACTTTACAATGATAGAAGGCGTTGGGTACCATGTTATTTGAAAAATTCATTTTGGGCTGGTATGTTGACCACCCAACGAAGCGAGGGCATAAATGTCTTTTTTGATGGATATGTTCATTCAAAAACTTCCCTGAAGTAATTTGTAGAACAATATGAACGGGCATTGAGAAGTAAAGTTGAAAAATAGTCTCAAGCTGATTTAAAATTATTTTCACAGATGGTCTCTTGTGCAACAAGGTAT